GAAATCGGAGGGCTCAAAGGCCGAAACATTGTGATAACAACGACAATAACAACAAAAGATGATGAAAATAGTCCGAATATAAGTAGTATAAAGAATGATAACTCCTCATCCTAGATATTCTGACAGTAAATATTTAATTGATTTTATATTTTATAATTGCAATAATTAATATTTAGCTTCGGATTAAAAATAATCAGTTGCAAAATAATAATGGTGTTTTATTTGCACTTAAAACAACAGAAGATCCTATTTCTGCTATCTCATTAGAAGAGCCCAATGAGTGAGTTACCTAACCCCTAACCACTGCCGTTAATGATTTTGTATGATACGCTCTCCCGCCATTTTCAAGTATGGGGTCGAATTGAACGGCTGCACGTTCCGCACACATTATTTCATTCTTGCGGTGAAGGCTTGTGCAGTACGAGCCACACTTTTCGGGAAAAAATGATAACAGAAAAATGGGGCAGTTCCCGCCCCTACTATATTTCATTGTCACGGATTTTATCATCTTCGGAATATTGTCAAAGCCTACGGACGGTCCTAAAATATTAAAATATAGTTTTAAGACATACTATATTTATGATTTAACTTTCTCAATATCGGGGATAGAGCATATGTAAATATTCTTCAGGTCAGTAAATGTAATTAATTAAATTAATTAATTAAAATTAATTAAATTTAATTAATTAATTAAAAACGGAGCATTTATTTAGATAAACTCTATTAAAATAATGTATAAACAGAAAATATATTAGATATTTGTCGGACTTAATCCATTTCGTAATATGTTGTCATTGTTTACGTTAAGGTACGTTTCGTGAGCGGATATGATCGTTCGGGTAAGATCGTGGGAAATTTGTTGTTTAAAAACAGTAATTTGCACTTTGCTAACCAAACGATTTCTCTATAGCTGAGTGATATAGGACGTCAGATCAAATGACGGTTCCGTAGAGGTCATAGTTCAATTCCTGTCTCGAACATTCACGCTGGTAAATGTAATTAATACTGTTTATTAAAAAAAAACAGAGCATTTACTTAAATAAATTGTATGTATAACATATAAACAGAAAATATATTAAATAATTGTCTGACTTAATCCATTTCATTATATCTATATAACAATAATAATAATAATGGACTCTCCCGTCGGTTTCAACGTATGAGGATCTGACAGCTTATTGATTCAGTTATGAAAGTTTGTGCGATAATCTTAAGTGGCATTTAAGACCCGCTAGTGATTTACAAAGGAGGCCATATATGGAGCAAGTGAGATTGGGAGATAAGATCACTGTTAGATTGGCTGACCTTTTAGATCTTGCTCTCGCTTCTTGTCGATGATTCAGACAAGCAGATTGAAAATTGCTGAGTCCATTAAAACATATATATATATATATATATATATATATATATATATATATATATAATTATTATATTTTTATTATTTTTGAAATCGCCACAAAAAAGCTTTCATGTTCAATACTATGATTGTATTTCTTTAGGCGATGGTAAGTAATTGGTAATTAAATGGTTTTTAAGGAAATTTAAAAACAAAGTGTTACCTCTTTTTCGAAAGTTAAAGGGGGTTGCATAAGATCAGAATTAAAAAAAAGACTTGTGGGTATGTCTTAATTAACCAATTAAATGTCAAATCTACGCTGAATAGAAATGTAAACTCAGAGGGTGGAAGTATTTTTCCATGTCACGATAAACCGAAACATAGACTGGGCATCATTGACAATTGCTAAAAATATGCCAGCGTAATGTATCGTGATTGTAGACAAATATGTCATGTTCAATTTTTTTGAAAGGGCGTTGAGGAGAGGAGTGGGTTAATCAGACGCAAAGTTAACAGAATTCCTTTTATATTCAAGAAGCTTCTTAAATGGGTCTGTAGATAAAATTAAAAATGTAGAACATCTATATAAAATATTAATAATACTAACTGGACGGCAATACATAGCAATATTTAAGCTGAATAAACAGGTAATTAACCGTAGAGGGTGGACCATTATATACTAATAAATTATGTCTATAAGAAATGGTAATACGAAATTTAAAAGAAAAAAATAACTATAAGGGAAAAGATAATCTGTCGGCAATTTACAGTTAATTCACTCCTTTAGTTAACAGAGTTTTTTTTTGTCAGCAAATTTTATTATTTGTAATTTTTCATGTAAACATAAGAAGCACCGTTTATTTAAGGATTTACAAGTTATAGTTTTTTTTTTAACTAGAACTTGTAAATCTTTAATATTATAATCTCTTATGATAAAAATATAATAATATGTTGTTCTACTTTGTATTGAGCACTTTTTTAAAAAAGTAAATGCTACGAACAATGGACTTTTACTCCGTCTGTTCTTTATCTCATTTGGCAATGTATATATATATATATATATATATATATATATATATATATATATATAAAATATATATATATAATGTTTGAAACATTCAAAAACAATGACGTCACGCTAGACCATTTCGAACGCCAAGCTTCCCAAAGAATACCAGAATGCAGACAAAGGAATTCTAACTGCCACGTAAACACCAAGCCAGTTCTTGATAATGACTGCGAAAATCGAAAGTACTTGGATAAAAATAACATAATTTGAACTTGGGACAGTTTATTCACAACTTCGATCACAAAACTCAACACATCCGAAAATTGGAAAAATATAATAAACAAAATGAAACAGAAAGTTTGTAATCAAACTTCTTTGGATGGCGACTTGCTACCTAAATATTCAAACACCCCCACCACAGATGTGTGTGTGTGTGTGTGATAAAGTTTCTTTAACAAAAATATATAAGTCCTCCACTACCGCAATTTTACCAGCTGAGCGGGTAAAATTGCAATTTTACCCGTCAGGCGGTATAGTTGTTTAATTAAGCCCGCCTGACGATCCAGATTTTTAAATTATAATGGTGAGTTATTTATATCTTTTTAGAAGAAACGTTCTTAGAATTACTCAAGAATTTGTGTATTGAGCACATTTAAAAAAAATCGTCATGAACTGGTCAATTTCGGAATGGGTTTTACCCTACAAGATTGGTTAACATTTCCTTGATATTTTCGAATAATTTTGGAAGTTTTTTAAATCATATAGCCAAAATGACTTCTTGTCCCTATTTGTAGATTATACTGGATCTAGTTAACGGATCCCCATTCCAATACGATAAAATAACTGAAGATGCTTAACTCTATGAAAATTGTTTTATTGTCTCGGTATCTTTGACAGGTTTTGTAATATAATTACACTCTCAGGGCATCGGAATTTGGCAAACTCTAAGCTGTCACGTTTTGAATTTTGTTATCGAAGCTATTTGTGAAGATTTGTGTCTGTCTCTGTTGGGATAGACTCGCGCAAATATTACAGCAAAACCTTTGATGCCAAGGATCAATATCAGATATTTGAGAATCGATATCCATTATTTTTTTCATTTTCTTTTTCTGTCTCCCACCATGCTGTTTGATCAGAAAACCACGTTTTTTTAGAGAGAAAGAAAGAAAGATAGATAGATAGATAGATAGATAGATAGATAGATAGATAGAGAGAGAGAGAGAGAGAGAGAGAGAGAATATTTGATCGAAGATACGAGTTTGTTTATAATTCATAGCTCCGACGAAAACTTAACACCAGATAGCCCAAGCCGCATCAATTGAAAGTGATAAAGACATTTTTTTCTGTTAATAAAAAACAATTAGTCAAATGATAAAGAATGCAATAGTTGGAACCAGATAGCAATTATTTGCCGTTTTTTAATTGAATATCTAACGCATTTTATTGCTTTTATATTATTATAACGTATATTTTATATTTTTTTTTATCTTTTTCAATCAGTTTTCCCTTTACAATATAAAATGTTCAATAATAATACTCTTTTGATTGCAATTCAAAGAAATAAATACTGAAACTATTTTTTTTAAATTTCAAAAATGAATAAACTAGCAATTCTTTATTCACATGAATTACTCAAACTTTGTTGTTCGTCGAAATATCCTCATTCTTTTTTTCTCTATCACAACGTTACAGCCGATATGTTCTTCGCTCAGTTTCATTGTCGGAAATTATTGCGCGGATTATTCGGATTTATATCTTCCTCTTTGTTGTTTTTATCACTGCTTCTTTACTGATATTTATCTGCCTTTGAACTTTTTTTTTATTAGTGTCGATATTTCGTTTTACATTCGATTTAAAAAATTCTGTTCATTTTTCAATAATTTTTACAATATGAAATACATACAGTAATATGACTAAAGATATTTACTAAAGATGTTGCAACCGGATTTTAGATTCCTCCGCCAACCGGACCGATTTTTTAAAACCGCACAGGCAAAACAAAGAATAATATTTATTTTTGGAAGTAAACCAATCATTGACCATTTCACTTTTAACTTGTTTATTGTACCAACTTACACAGAAATAGCGTCTAGCCAAATATTTCCTTGTAGGGAAACAATAATATTACCATTATCATCTTTTGGAAAAATATCAAAATTATCTTCAAGATTTCACGGACAAGCACCAAACTGAAGAAGTGTACCTGCAAAAACTGGTTAAAAATGTTTCGCAAAAAAGTATGCTTAGTTTGAGTTGTTTTTTACGGCTTATCAACCCTTTGTTGGTTATTTTTAAGCCGAAATATATTGAGGATTGTAAGAATAATATTTTATAAAAAGTGAATATTCCATTAAAAATTTAAAAAAAAAAAAAATTTCATATATACCTGGGAGGGATGCATTCATATCTTTCCAAAGGGTATTTGCAATTAGCTAATCTCCAGGAGGTTAGCATCAGCTATACAGATGGAAGGTAAAAAAATGTTCTGCCAGACGATTAAAAGAGAGCAGTTTCCTCTTGGAGCGTTAAAATTAACAAGCCATTTCTTGCGACAGTTAACAAAGACGATACGAAAACATAATTATCTTGGAATTGTATTTAGAATGTAACTCTGATAAAGAATGCATAAAAAAGAAAATTTGCACAAAATGTGAAATGGAAGCGATTGAATTTATAAAGAAACGCGGGGACCGATCAGAGCTATATGTTATTTCTTCTTTTTCTTATTCTTCTTTGTGCCGTGTCACTTCAGAACGTTGGTGATCATGGCTCTCCACAGTCTCCTGTTTTTTATAGCTATTACTATATTTTCTCTTTTTGCTATCTCTCCTAAGCCTTGTTCTGCTATCCATGTACACAGGCTCGTTTGTGCGTTGTTTTTCTCTACCCATCTTCGCTTTCGGTATGTCCCGTGAGTGTCAAAATTTCCAAGCCCCCTTTCCTCATTATGTGCCCTAGATATTTAATCTGTTTTTTTTTTTCTGATGTTAAGTATAAGTGTACTTTTTGTTTTCGTTTTTTTTTTAAACTTCGTCGTTGCTCAGTCCAAAATATTCTCAGTATACTGCTGTAGAAACACATTTCTGTTGCTTCACGAAATTTCTACATGTTTGAGGTGACTGTCCAGCTTTCATTGCCATATAGGAGGACGGATATTACATCAGAGTTCAGTGCTCTATTCTTTGTTTCTTATGAAATTTTCTTGTTCCTTAATACCTTGCTTAACTATTGGAAGGCATTTTTCGCTATCCCAATGCTCCTTCGGATTTCAGTATCGCACTTTTCGTCCTCTGTTAAAAGTCTTCTCAGATATTTATGGATTGAAATAATAGTTTCTTTTTTGCATTTATTTTTAGCGGCAAGAAAAGCTGCATCGAAACATTGGCCCGACATGTGGAAGAAAAGTTGCTACAATTTTGTCACGGAATTCGACGAAGAAACCAGCCCTCTCAACCCGAACGGAAATATTTTGGCCAGTGAGTATATATTTCTTATTTTTTAGAGAAAACATCTTTTTTTTTACCAGAAAAGTCTATAGGCCAGATGCCTTCACCAGTATTTATCAATTGATATTATCTCGATTTGTTAGCCGCATTGCTTACAGCCACATTAATTAGAAGCACCGGTTCCCGTATAATAACCGAAGTTAAGCAAAATCCAGCTTTGTCAATACCTAGATGGGTGACCGCTTAGGATTACCAGGTGTTGTAAAATCGGATGTGCGGGTGGTATAATGGGTCGGAATTTTTAATCTGAGTTCCAATTCTAGTTGGGTTTATATTTATTTTCGCGCACATACCATTGGGAAATGTATGAATCCACTTATTTTCCCCCAGATATAGGTTAATTAGTGGAACTTGTCTCACTAAACCGTTATTATCTCTAAAAAATTCCTCTTTTTGTTTGAAATAATAAACTCTAACAGCGAAAACATCAAATACTGTTTATTTCCGCCTTTAAGAGCTTCACTTCACTTTGCAAACAGAAAGGGAGAATTTCGTGTTGTATTCAGCAAAGGGATCACCAGAAGCATCGCAATAATTGAATAATTAGCAGATTCCTCAGCTAAAGAAGAAAACTCGCGGTTTTCTTATAAACTTGACAGATTTCCACCGGCCAGTGACTACCCAACATTGCGTCTCCATTCTTGGTTGCCTCGGGGTGCCCCGAAAACTGGGAAAAGCCCGCTTCCCGTCCACAATGAGACAATATGCGAAATCAAATGCCATGACGAGAAATAGGAACTAGATAATGTTTCTAACATATTTTTTAATCATTTCAATCCCAACTAAGGCAACAAAGCGACTAAGACACAGGTAGTTACTGAATATGAAACAATATAACAAAAAATCATTAAGTAGCAAGAACAATAACAGAACAGGAATTAAGAAGACAGAAGATAACGATTGGCATTGCATTTGAATTTTTGAAGATCAAAGTTAACTGGAAAGTAAGAGGAGTGAAAGAGAATTAGAAAACTTTAGCGAGAGGAAAGGACAAAAAATGAAGAAGAATTAAGAAAACAGAAGATAACGATTGGCATTGCATTTAGATTTTTGAAGATCAAAGTTAACTGAAAATCAAGATGGAAGAGAATTTTACGAACAGGAAGTGAGAGAAAAGAAACTGTTAGCATAGAACTTACGGTTACATCTAGCCATTTCAGCAGTAAAATGATCAAACCTTACCGACAAATCTAGTAGTACGCTTAAATCCATGAAGTCTGGATACCAAAAAGGAAAGCGGTATTTATTTTGAGTAAAACAAAAATGTGCCACAAGGCTAAAAGAGGCAGGGGAAGGCTGGTCTTCAATCTCTCTTATCTTAAATTTAGCTATCCACGATTACTGACCCAAATATACTGCAGTATTACTTACGTCAAAAGCAACACATTCTTACCATTTTTACTACAGGCATCAAGTGTCTATGAAGTCTTAACCAGTTCCCATATGTACAAAGCTCATCAGAACAATTGATGAAAGTATTTATAGAAAAGGCACGGAGAAGCTACGTTACGGCGATGGGAAACGGACTGAAATTTAGATGTTTTATTCAGGGCTTCGCTTGCTCAGTCTGGATGGGTAGGTAGGTAACACTTGGGACAACTATGTCGTCTTATAGATCAGCTCTTCCTCCCTAGAAACTATCTATTACTCTCAATTTCAGGATGTGTGATGTCAGTACTAAAGGTTGGCATCGGAACAACGCAAAGAGATAGTGTGTACCTGACCAAGAGCGCGCGGGGTGGGGGGAAGAAGTGTTTCAATCATAGTATCGCACATGTATAGTGGTTAGAACTGGTTCCTGGTGTTATCGAAGTAGTGGGATCGATCCCAGCGTGCGGCACTTTTGGAAAGTGCATGAAAACCATACCACGGGCTGACCGAAGCCTTGTGAGTGACACTGTACAGACGGAACCCTTGGGGGCCGTCGGTAGCTGTGCTAGCACGAAGTCATCGTGGCCGAGGGCTTGAGTGTGCTGGCATTGTTCAAATTGTTAATCACGCTAGATAACACACTCTTTCCCAGAAACTGTAACTAAGGTCTGCTCAGCATAGTTGCAGCATAAACCACAGGTGGGTTCTGCCGGTGTTGAACAAACACAATTTCACCTGAGCATCGTCTGCAGCAGGGATTGGCTAGCCGCCCTGGTAGACTGGTATCCTCGAATACGAATGGCCAGCGATACATCACACGTATTAATTTCTTTCTATCGGATTATAATAAGTGAAAGTAAAAGTTTGGATAACATAATCGGTGCTAATAGTCTCAAGGTAATTGTCCAATAATAATTCATTTTTTCTATAATCAAATAATTAATCCATTCAAAAACTGAGAAAACCTATCCTGGAATTTCTACACATATATGAGATAAACAGATAGATGTTACATATATATATATATATATATATATATATATATATATATATATATATATATGTAGAGAGAGAGAGAGAGAGAGTAAAGCAACCATTGAGAAATTGCTTATTCCTATAAAGTTTAATCTTTCTTTCCACCTCACGTAACGCAAAGAAATGGTTAATAAAACTCAAAGGAAAAACCTGTCAGAGAATATTTATTTTTTAATCGATAGGCAACAAAACTTGACAAATACCACCCCGTATTCGTGGGGAACGTAGCATTTACAGTTTTGTTTTATGGCCGAATAAATTATGTGTTCGACAGGAAACAATTTGCGCCGTTCTTAATTCAGGCTTCATTTGGTATTCCGTCGAGTTTAGACTTTATGGTCATGTTTTCTATACATGACGCAATTTCTATTGTTTATACTTATGTGATAAAATCTGTGTATCTTTGTTGAATGCAAAGCTTGTTCTTAACATCACAACAAATTTACTGTCATAAAATAATTGTTATCTATCTATCTATCTATCTATCTATCTATCTATCTATCTATCTATGCTTAAATAAGTAAAAAGTGTGAAAATATTTAAAAATTGAAATTTTCGACATTTTTTTAGCTTTGTCAGACATTTTGGAACTGAAATAATGCGGAGTTATATGTCAACGGCACCTCTTCTCCTACGTATATATAATTCCATCACGAAGAAAATTATTTTAATCTGATGAAGTTCCTTTGAATGAAGAAACGTCTTGTATGGATTTTTTTTTTCATTTTGTCATTGAAATATCTCTCTTAATCGTGTCCGTTGGGCATCGTGAAATATTTGTTTACTTTATTACATAAAGATTGTTCTCTTATCTACTGACAACTTACAAGCAATTTCTTAATTCTATTATCCAAGAATATTTGCTCTTTTTCGGTAAAACTGCCATTGGCACCTTTTGAAGTCTTCAAGGAATTTTTCTCAGATTAAGTGCAAATCCAAAAGTCTAATCCCTGTTGATTCCATTGAATGAGTTAAAACCTCCTTGCCAAGCAATTTTTATCTAGTTACCAACTTAACTAACATTCTCCTGATAAAATATTATACTGTATCTGTTAATTCATTCTTGACAAAAACTTTTTCTTGATTAGTGCATTCATTTGAAGCCTGGCTGCCTTGACTATCGTTTATTGGACCCACAATCCCGGACGAAGACAACGACGTGAATAAATGAAAATTACAGCGGCTAAGAATGAATTCAATAAAAGCCGAAGAATAACATCTAATAATTTAAATAAGATAACCCCATGTGTACTAGACCCGCCCTCTGAGGCTCGAGTTGTTAAAATAATGTGATGCGATTGCATCATGATATTAATCGGGTTTATTACATAAATTTTATTCAAGTCAGCATCTACTTTTAGGACCGTGTGTCTGACAAACAGTAGAAAAGCTGCAGTAATTGTTCGAATAATTCTTTTTCTTCTTTGGAAGATGCTTATAGTATAAAATACCGTTTCAACCCCACCATTTATATCGGTTCTTCATTTTTGGATGAAGACTGACCTTTGGTACGGTTAGCCGTGTTTCATATTGCTTACTCCACACGCTATTGCGTTTCATATTTGTTTATATTTCTGAGATGAGGTAGTGTAACTATTTACACTATTTACATTTTTCGTACTGCAACATATATCACCTGAAGAAGACCGGACCATAGAACGGCCGGAACGTCGTGAATTTGACAATAAATATAAAGACAACAGTCCCAACTATGTAAATAGTGTAAAGCGTTCTATATTGTTGTAAAATAACCATTTTTCGTCGTTTATCATAAGCTGACATTTTCAATATATTTTAGTCGAGAATCACATAGAAAACATATCGTACAGTAATTTTGTTCCACTGAATTCTAAGAATGTTACATATTAAGGCAGTTTTGGTGCAAATGATTTACAGCATTTGATTTGGATGTGTTGAGCATGTTTTCAATTCTATTAATCATATAATATTGATTATTCTCAAGTTATGTATTGATTCGATCGCTATCACACTCAACCATTCACACTTAACCATTCACGCACAAACAGTCACACTCAACCAGTCACATTCAACCATTTAAACACAACCAGTCACACTCAATAGTTCACTCACAACCAGTTACACACAACCAGTTACACACAACCAGTCACACACAACCATTCACACACATCCAGTCACGCTCAACCAGTCACACACAACCAGTCACACACAACCAGTCACGCTCAACCAATCACACGCAACCAGTCACACACATCCAGTCACACTCAACCAGTTACACACAACCATTCACACACAACCAGTGTTTACCCACCGTTCAACCGGTAGCTGGGTACTAAGTCATTTTCCTCTACCACCAGTAAAGCGGTGGTCAGGGGTCAAAGGGTTAAGGATGACATAAAAATGTGGGTGTTAAATCAGAGGAATTCAGGTAGTGGTGTTTCACACAAAAATGATAATCAATGAGGAAATAAGAATTAGCAGAAAGACAAAAGATTTAGAGTTTTTGGAGAATCAGAATGCTGCTGCTAAAGGCTTATGAAATGACAGGGATCATTAATGCACCCAAAACCGTTCCTTGCAAAGAAAATGTCAGCGTATTATAAAATATTAGCATTTGAAAAAATTTGTTATAAATGCATGAAAGGGAACTTTGTTGACCATGTTTGCCGTAGTCTTTGAATATAGAATCCAGTGAAGTACGTAATGTGTTCAATATCAGAGGTTGGCAGTGAAGATTCGGAGTAGCAGCTGTTAAGTAATTCTTTAGGTCTTCGGTATCATAGGTTGGCAGTGAAGATATTTAGAGAAAAGAACAAAATGGCTGCCTTTATACACGTCGGATTGAATATTTAGAGCTTTCTGATTGGTTAACCCTTCTCTTGATGGACTATAAAATGAGTCAGCTCATTTTGTTTGGCTCACTAGTACATACATGTATCCAAAAAAACTGTAACAAACTTGTTTTGAAATATTCAATTACATGGATGAAGTTTTTCGATTCACGCTCTTCCTCGGTCTTTTGAACAGGAGTAGTGGTTTATACCCTGTTTCCTGTTCAGGATTGGGTTCCCGATTCCTTCTAATATCTACTTCCATACAATTACTTCTAACGCCTCTGAGTAAACTCTGAAATATTATTCACTAATTATATCTTGACCACTTTAAACCTAGATTTAGTTGTTATCTTTGCTCACGTGTTCGGTTCATGTTATTTTCGACATCCATCCGTAGAAACACATTTCTGTTGCTTCAAGTCTCTTCTTCATTGGTGAGGAGATCGTAAAGCATTTACTGCGATGTAGGAAGGCTGATATTGCATAACAATTCAGTACTCTTTTCTTTGTTTCTAACGCAATTTTTCTGTTTCTTTATACTTTGCTTATCATTTGGAAGGCATCTTTGGCTACCCCAATGCATCTTCGGATTTCAGTGTCGCACTTTCCGCACTCTGTTAAAACACTTCCCAGATATTTAAAGTCTTGATAATCTATACATTCCTGGGTATGACGATAAAGTGTATCCAGCAGCAAAGCCTCTATTGGGAGATTGGAGGTTTTGAGGAGTGTGGACCATCTTTTAATTACTGTTGTACCCAGATCTATCATGTCCTGGGGTGGTAGCACCTGTTAGGGTCCCGTTAATGGACAAATAGTGAACCCCAAACAAAAAGACTCTAAAAGTATGAAAATGCATTTTTATATTAAAAATACCAACAATACATATTTATAGTAAAATTACCAAAAGCCACTCTTTAAATAGAATGACAAGCAATACAATTTATTGTAGAATTACAAATAATACATTTTATAGCAAAATGACCAACAATACATTCTATTTGTAGTTGAATCCATACAACTACGTATAAAATATCAAATAACATATAGAGGGTATGCTAAATAAAATCAACCAATAATCTCTCTATATAAAACAGAGGATGTCTGTGTCTGTGTGTCTGTGTGATAGTTTTCACTCGACATCCATCCTACTGATTTTGACCAAACTTGGCACATACATTGTACAGTGTAAAAAATATGTTCTTAGCGTAAAAAATCGATATTTTAAAAAAAATGGATAAAGCTTATCAAATTCGATAAATCCAACTTTTTTTCACCGATTTCGTTCAAACTCAGTATGTAGGTTACTTACAACATGGAGAGCTCAACGATATTTCATTTATATTTATACACCACTGCGTTTAGCGAAAAACAGCGAAAAACGAAAAATTGAATTTAACAACAATCGATTTCAATACCAATTTTAAACTAAAAACTCCCTCAATTTTCAAGCAATCTAACACAAACTTCATTCAATTGTAGCTAACAATAATTTAATTGTTTAACAGTCATTTAACTTGATAATTGAATCCACCCATATAGTGAAAACCTGCATAAATAGCAAAAAATGGTGATTTTTACTGGTTTCTTTCTTATTTTTCATTGATCTTTCAACTAGTTTTCATCAAACTTAACAATTGCTTTATAAATGTATCCTCTTTTACATCCCTGGTAGCACACTGACAAATTTAATTTCAAAAACTCCAAAATAATTGCGGTCTGAAGTGGGTCTTCATGTTGCCTGTTTTACCCCTTCATGTCCTCGGCTAACTTCGATTGAATAAATACAGACTACTTCTGTTATATCAGTAACTGCATTAATGCAAAATGTATTTTAATGAAAGTACTTTAAAGTAATTGAAGAAGATAGACTCTGTTACATCTAAACATGATGCTGTTTTTGCTCCATTCTAATTGAACGCTTTTTTTTATCGACCAGCTGAGTATGGCTGCTAGTAATCTAAATAAAGGAATAAACTGTTTCTTTTATAATTTATTAACAGACTTTAAATGAACATTTCATTCATAAATTGGCTTGCTATATTTAAGGAAAGTTTTACAAATAGATGCCAACTTGTTGAAGGCCAAGTAAAATGCAAATTTCAAACATTTTCTGCACTATATCCTAAACAGAACTATTGATATGAAAATCAAAACAATCCTCGATAATCCTAAACAGAACTATTGATATGAAAATCAAAACAATCCTCGAATAAAAACAGTAGTGAAGGACATTTAATAAATGAAATAAACTTTTTAAAGATCAATAAGCAAATTACTTAAACCTCAAGAGTGATATTGCCTAGAAGTAGATAATATACAAAACAGATATTGAGCTTTTAGTGTACAAGTTACTATAAGTAGAGCTGGAGCTTTTTAATCTCACAATTCGTGGGAGAATTGAGTTCCAATTTCGCATTTATTCATACAAATTCCATAATATAGGTTTTACTTAATTAGCTATTATGTTTCTCTAACTCTTCAAATGTTGAATGTATAACTAATTCTAATTTCTATTTTTCCATCTTTACACTATATTAATTTTATCTCATAAATTGCCCCCTGTTCTGACACCGATGAAATAAAAATAATTGTACAGAAAATAAGGATCTACGTACATCAACTCTTTAAATTAAGTGGAAGCAGAAGAATTATCCTTGAAATTTTAAAAAAGGTAAGCTTAAACATTAATTCAATACTTAAATGCAACGATCAATTTTGAGTTCTGTAGTTTATTGATGCCTGTCGCATCTATTCCACCCTAGATATTATGATAGCCAAACCAAGAGTCCTCCACAGGAGCTAGCTTAAATGCCGCCCGATAGTACGGCTTTTAAGCTATTTTATAATAAAACATGCACTGCAATTTTGGATACAAAAGGAAAATAAGAGTTACTCCGCTTGAACCAAGAAAACAAAGATAATGGCTAGTATAATATATATTTTTTAACCTCGCATAATCTAACAACACTGAATCTGAGCTCAACGAAAATCGTTCTCTGCGCCTAACTTTTCTAGGGCTTTTAAATGAGCTATAAATCATTGAAATTCAACCAGTGAGAACAGAGGAGTTGTTTAGACGTACACACACGCACAATCTCACACATGTACACTGTACTTTATATATAAGATACCACACCAAACATTTCACATTTCTTCACAAAACATATTCGTGTTCAATTTATATACCGTGTCCTTTCAGGCAGTGAGTAATCATGGCTCTCCGCAACTTCCTACCCTTTATAGCTCTAAGCAATATTTGTCTCCTTATTAGACTTCCCACTCCTCGTTCTGCCATCCATTTACAGAACCTTACTATGTAGGTTACTTGCCGTTTCCTGCCACCCATCTTGCCTTCAGTATGACATGAGAGTGTCAACTTCTCCAAGCCTTCTTTTCTCATTATGCGTCCCAGAAATTTCAACTTTCGCTTTCTGATACTAACTACAAATTCTTTTTGTGTTTCCATTTTTCTTAAAACTTTCTCGTTGCTGACATGTTTCGTCCATGGTATTCTCAGCATCCTTCTGTAGTATGATATGTCTGTTGTCTCAAGTCTTCTCTTCATCCGCATTCACTGCCATATAGAAGGGTTGAGATTTAATTTATTTTCTTTGTTTCTAAGGAAATTTTCCTATTTATTAATACTTTGTTTAGCTTTTAGAGAGTATCTTTCGCCATTAGAATACTTCCTCGGATTTCTTTGATACATTTTCCATCGATTGTTATAACCCTTACCAGATAATTAAAAACGTGGATTTTTAATCCCTTCTCAAGACAAAGGCATCCGAGAAGATCTCAGCTCGATTCTCTTCCCAAAATTCTGACCAAACCTCAGATCCTTTTTGTGAAGGAACTTTTGATTGAGCTCATAATTTTTAGCGCCTCTGCTGTTACTAAAATAATCTTCTCTCATCGTAACATAATTTCTTTTCGCCTTTTCTATAAATATTTTTACTATAATTGTTCTGATAGGGTTGTCCCTTTGGCACCTCGAATTCATGAATTTAAACGTAGTACTAGATTGGCAAGTAGGTCGCATCATTATATGTAACCGTAAATTCTATTCTAATAATTTCTTCTCACATACTTTTCAAATGTGGAACATTTTTCTAGCTTCTTGTTTTTTTTTTCCAACTAAGACCTTCAAAAATTAAATGCAGCGTCAGTCGTCATTTTCTATCTGATTCCTGTTCATTTTATTGTCCTTTCTCCTCGGTAATGTTTGCTCAGTTTCCTTCTTGCTTTCCTGTCAACTACGATCTTCAAAAAATTAAATGCAATGCCAATCGTCATCTTCTGTCTCTCTCTGAATCTTTTATTTTAAGGTGATTCCTACTCAATAACTTTTTTTTTCAGTTTCTTTCACTATCAGTACCCCGTTGCATCTGAATGGCTTTATCCCCTTCCTTTGGGTGAAATGATTATATAAAAAGCAACAAACATAGCTATGAGAACAAAGGGTGTATTTAATTCGTAATTTTCTTTTCTATTGTAGAAATGCAGACGTCAGCTGCTTCTTGTTTGATTGTGAGCATAATTGACTTAATTACAGCAACAGTGGTGGGGATAGTAGCCATTTTGAAGCGGCAAGTGGCGCTGTGTATGGTCACAGGAACCCTGTATATGATGGCTGGTAAGTTCCTTGTTTATTAGTTATCATTTTCCAAACTTCATGTTAAATTTCTAAAAACGAAAATTATAACATTTACAGAAAATATAATCAGTGCGAAAAAAATAAAAAGGCGAAATAAAATAGTAAATGTAAGAAATTGTCAGTTATGGATGTAAATATAGTAAATGGGAACTGTAGGAGTATACATGACCGGAAATGAACGGCGACCCACTGGGAATTGTGCAAAAGCCATTTAGTTGATTATATGTCGATTAATGGAGATGATTAATGCACGTTCATTAAGACTGAATTTTTCTTCATCCACTTCAAATGGAATCAATCGATATTTTTTTTTATTTTCTAATTTTTCATTACATGTTTTGAAATTGATTCTATTAATGGCTTGAAGTTCACTACGAGTACTCTGATTGAGGTTTTGGGATCATTTTCCAACATAACCTTCAAATAATTGGTTGCTTCGGTTAATCGCAATCCATTTACTGAGTAGACAAAATAAATAACATTAAAAATAAAAGAAAATAAATATAAAAAAAAATACTATCCCGCAGACGAGAGTTGTGTCTGCCATAATATTTGACAAATGTTTGTTTGGCGGGTAAAAAAAAGTAACAGTGACAAAAAAAAAAAAAAATGAGTCAGCGAAAGCAAAAGGTTACCGGAAGATACATGTGCCACAATCTCAGAAGTATTGGAAAATCGCTGATTACAAGTGCGAAATCACAATCTCAGAAGTATTGGAAAATCGCTGATTACAAGTGCGAAATCACAATCTCAGAAGTATTGGAAAATCTCAAGTATTGGAAAATCTGATTGGAAAATCGCTGAAATACAATCTCAAGTATTGGAAAATCGCTGATTACAAGTGCGAAATCACAATCTCAGAAGTATTGGAAAATCGCTGATTACAAAATCGCTACTACAAGTCGAAATCACAATCTCAGAAGTATTGGAAAATCGCTGATTAAATCACAATCTCAAAAATCGTGCTCAGAAGTATTGGAAAATCGTTGAAATCAAATCAATCTCAGAAGTATTGGAAAATCGCTGATTACAAGTGCGAAATCACAATCTCAGAAGTATTGGAAAATCGCTGATTACAAGTGCGAAATCACAATCTCAGAAGTATTGGAAAATCGCTGATTACAAGTGCGAAATCACAATCTCAGAAGTATTGGAAAATCGCTGATTACAAGTGCGAAATCACAATCTCAGAAGTATTGGAAAATCGTTGATTACAAGTGCGAAATCACAATCTCAGAAGTATTGGAAAATCGCTGATTACAAGTGCGAAATCACAATCTCAGAAGTATTGGAAAATCGCTGATTAAATCGTATTGGAAAATCGCTGATTACAAGTGCGAAATCACAATCTCAGAAGTGCGAAATCACAATCTCAGAAGTATTGGAAAATCGCTGATTACAAGTGCGAAATCACAATCTCAGAAGTATTGGAAAATCGCTGATTACAAGTGCGAAATCACAATCTCAGAAGTATTGGAAAATCGCTGATTACAAGTGCGAAATCACAATCTCAGAAGTATTGGAAAATCGCGCTGATTACAAGTGCGAAATCACAATCTCAAAGTATTGAAAATCGCTGATTACAAGTGCGAAATCACAATCTCAGAAGTATTGGAAAATCGCTGATTATTAAGTAAAAATCGCTGTGCGAAATCACAATCTCAGAAGTATTGGAAAATCGCTGATTACAAGTGCGAAATCACAATCTCAGAAGTATTGGAAAATCGCTGATTACAAGTGCGAAATCACAATCTCAGAAGTATTGGAAAATCGCTGATTACAAGTGCTAAATCACAATCTCAGAAGTATTGGAAAATCGCTGATTACAAGTGCGAAATCACAATCTCAGAAGTATTGGAAAATCGCTGATTACAAGTGCGAAATCACAATCTCAGAAGTATTGGAAAATCGCTGATTACAAGTGCGAAATCACAATCTCAGAAGTATTGGAAAATCGCTGATTACAAGTGCGAAATCACAATCTCAGAAGTATTGGAAAATCGCTGATTACAAGTGCGAAATCACAATCTCAGAAGTATTGGAAAATCGCTGATTACAAGTGCGAAATCACAATCTCAGAAGTATTGGAAAATCGCTGATTACAAGTGCGAAATCACAATCTCAGAAGTATTGGAAAATCGCTGATTACAAGTGCGAAATCACAATCTCAAAGTATTGGAAAATCGCTGATTACAAGTGCGAAATCACAATCTCAGAAGTATTGGAAAATCGCTGATTACAAGTGCTAAATCACAATCTCAGAAGTATTGGAAAATCGCTTGATTACAAGTGCGAAATCACAATCTCAGAAGTATTGGAAAATCGCTGATTACAAGTGCGAAATCACAATCTCAGAAGTATTGGAAAATCGCTGATTACAAGTGCGAAATCACAATCTCAGAAGTATTGGAAAATCGCTGATTACAAGTGCTAAATCACAATCTCAGAAGTATTGGAAAATCGCTGATTACAAGTGCGAAATCACAATCTCAGAAGTATTGGAAAATCGCTGATTACAAGTGCGAAATCACAATCTCAGAAGTATTGGAAAATCGCTGATTACAAGTGCGAAATCACAATCTCAGAAGTATTGGAAAATCGCTGATTACAAGTGCGAAATCATAGATAGTTTTGGGAAGATGGCTGACATTGACATGAAAGTTGTCTATGGCTTGAGAAAGCATAGAATTTGGTGAATGAACTTTTTTTTCTTTTTTGTTAAAAACCACTTGAATAAACATTGACTAGGTTCGAAGAAAAGGTGATATAAAGACATTTTTTTAATTCCATGCCCCTTCAAGATGTAGGCAGTCATGGCTATCCATGGAACTTTTTTTATCAGAAAATTGCCATGACTTTAGAAAGATAACGGAATAGTTTCCTGATGACTTCTCCACAATTTGAATCTTGAGTAGTTCTATTAAACTCTTTTCCCACACAAACTAGAAAGCAGGCTATATATATATATATATATATATATATATATATATATATATATATATATATATATATGGGTGACTTCGGAACGAGTAGTCGGCATAGGTTTAAATTTTAAATATGCACATGTTAGACTGCATTCATTGTAATGGTATTTACTGTGAGAAAGCGACTCGGAGAAGAAAGGTACCTGAATGATTTTTTTGAAGGATAATCCTCGAAATAATTTAGTAAATCAAGTGACTTATCGCCCGTCAATTATGATGAGAATTCACTGCTATTTACTTTTTTCATTTATTTTTGAGTCCATGAGATGTTTGACAGTTCGTCTTTTCTTCGTCGCTCAACTATTCGTTACTGTTTCGTCTGACGATTGGTTTAAAATTATCGTCTGACGATTGGCTGGAAATTGTCGCCTGACATTTGACTGGAAATTATCGCCTGACGATTGGTCGGAAATTATCGTCTGACGATTGGTTTGAAATTGTTTGTAAATATATTTGTTCTGTTTTATATTGTAGGTATCTTCGGCGTTTTCACTCTGGTCATTATCTACACGAAGACGGCATACGAAATAGACGAGTGCTTTGCGTTCGTCCCCATTCCGCAAGACTTGTGCAAAGCCCGTGAGATCACCTACGGATATTCGAGTTCTCTAGTCTGGGTAGGAGTTGTATTGTGCGTCTGCACTTGTGGCTTCTGGATCTTCTTGGCCCGGCTGCTGACCTTCATCAAATCCAGAGTCATGTTGTAAAAAATAAAAAAAAAATCTCATGTTCTTGATACAGTGCGAACGGTCGACATACAATACGTTTCATCGACAGTCCAGACCGAATTCGTGTGATCTTGAAACGAAAAACAACTGAAAAAAAAAAACATCAACATATATATATATATATATATATATATATATATATATATATATATATATATATATGAATGAAAGGAAAGATGTCAAAAAGATCTTATTTTTTTAATGTATCCATTGCTTAACAAAATATTTGAATCAAAAGAAAATTGGTAACCGTTTGTTTTCTACGTAATACACACATACACATTCAATATTATATATTTAAACACTATACATGTATATATATACTTATGTGTGCTATATATATATATATATATATATATATATATATATATATATATATATATATATATATATATATATATGGTGTGCAAATGTTCTGGGTTCAATCTAGAAGCCCATACAAAAATAATTGTGATGTTTGATCCTTTGAACAGATTTTAGGAAG